CACAGAAGAATAATGAGAGATACAATAAATAAATAGATCGAAAAAAAATAAAAATGAAAGCAATCCGCGGAGATCCGGTGTGCCGAACCCGCCGAGTGCTATCCATCCTGCCATCCGTGTTACTCAATAGGGGGGGACCCTGGTCGAAAATTATCAGCTTTTCGAAGCACGGAGAGGTTAAACGAGGAGGAGGAGGAGGGGGAAGAGGGGGTTTGTTCAAAAAATTTCTATTATATTAGCGTCCTTTCTTCATGGGCTCCGCGGCTGCTTCACGCTGCATAATGTCGCATATAATACGATGGCCGAAACGGTGCTTTGTGCGGAGACGCGAGATTGCCCCAAACATACACGATAATGCTCGCATTTGTTGACTTTCGGGGGACTATACCTTAATTATAATTTTTTTAAATCTTTTATTCGTTTTTTTTTCAACCCGAAAATTAAAATTGCAGTGTTCCCCAACGCGTGGTCCGCGGACCGCTGCCGGTCCGCCGAAGTTTTTTGCCGGTCCGCGGGAAATTTCTCCGGATTAATAAATTGTTCACAAGTAGCAATGAAGGACGGTACAGTACAGTATCTTAATTTTTAATTTTGGCAAGACAATAGCAGTTAAAATTATCTCATGAAAAATATATCTTGGCTTTTCTCCTAATAATACTTCAGAAACATTTTTAACCTGATTTAATAATTTTTTTAGTCTGAAAAATCTTTCTTCAAGCCCACCTTTCCATTTTTTGAAGACATCCTACTATTGCTGCTTCACTTGATCCTGAATTAATTTTTACCAAAAAAAATCAGCAGTTTTTCAAATATCTGCCATATTCAAGCTATCTTTCAAGCAACACGTTTTTGAGCATGCAAAAAGTCTATGAAAACTTGCTGGTCCTAAGAAAATTTCATGAAACTTCGCCAGTCCGCAGAAAATTGTATGAAAATGTGTCGGTCCGCGGGACCAAAAAGGTTGGGTAACGCTGGTCTAATGAACTTTAGAGGCAAGATGATGTTGGTATGTTTTTTTTTGGAAGTCTCGAACTTTTGAGATGAAGGCTGAATAACAGCCACGTCGAGGCTTACTGAACAACAAGGTCTGTCCTCTGGCTCCGATAGCACTTGGGGAAATATTCCCAAAGGAGTTTGTCATGAGAAGCTATTTTAATTTAGTTTCATAGAGTGAAATTTCCGGGATTTTCAAGAATACAATATTTCCAAAAGTTTCGCAATTTTATTGTCAGAAAGTCAGGGAGAAAGTAAAAAAAAAAATTCTGGTGGCGGTAAAATGCATCCCTTCTTCCCCAGTTTCACCAGCCGGTTCCGTTAATCAATAACAGGCTTATTTTTTATTATTTCTGTTATTAACCCTTACTGATCAAGAGAATCAATCGGTTACTCTGCAATATTTTAATTTCCCATAAAAATTCCGAACTGTCTACATTTTCAAATGTAGTCTAACTGACTGATGAGTGATGTGCACTTGGCATATGGTACTCAAGAAGCATTAGTTTGAAGACACTTTCGAACTTTCCTGCTTTTGAGATAGACATTTTCAAGTATTCGAATAAAAAGCTTTAATTTGATAAGGGATACGTTAAATGCAATACAGTATTCTTAGATCATGCCCTTTACAGCACTATTTCCCCAGCAGTTTATTTCCCGAGAGAAAAACGTAGTTGTGCTGAATTTTGGCTGACTTCCGGTAGTTCCGATCAAAACTTTAATAATTTATCGCATTTTCTGAAAGTGATCAGAAATTCGTGATCCCCAAATTAAATTGAGCATAAATGTAGCATGCGTTAAAAATGTTGAAATTTTTGAAGAAAAATTTCATTTGCACATTTATGACCTATGCAATATATTATTTTTTATTTTCGACTGGCACAATCTTGCAGCCTCTAATAATCTCTAGAAACGAGAAACTTAGAGTTATTCTGTACATTTAATTGTACTGCAAACGCCCATAGTGAATGAACATACAGACATCCAACAAAAATAAATGAATACGTCGACTCCCAAGTTTCATATCAGCAAAAACGAAAAAATGAGCGATAAAAATTCATCTCACGGTGAAAAATTTATTTTCCTAGAGCATTGGAACATTAAGAATACACGGGGATGAATGTTATGTCGCTTTTGCAGAAAACCTAGGGTCTCAAAAATTATGATTCACATATGCTTCAGCTTGTTATGAGGAAGAAGTTCACAGTTAACCTCCAGAGCGAGATCTAAACCAATCCACTCAGATTCCAACCCTGTATAAAGTGACTTTAATTGCTCAGATAAGAAGTGTAAATGAATTATAATTGTACACCTTTGACAGTTCTAACCTTCCCGAGGCATAACTGCTGATTGAAGAGATGTTGATCCTGAAAACAGATGAAAATTTTCTCCGCGTTTTCAGAGCCGAAAAATACGTCTCCGGTTGTCGAAAAGGGGTTTTTTCTCCTTTATTTTATAAATTGTCAGAAAGGGAAAGTGTTCGAGTTCCCGATTTTTCCGAAATTCAGTGACCTACGGTATAATGTCACTAGACAATATTTAATTTCAATAAATGATAAAGCTTTGGCACTTCTGTTACAACCTACGAGGTGATGTCCTGCGGCGCCGCGGATGTCCCCGGAAACGCATAATAGCCCCGAGGTTTATTAGAACTTAATGGAGGGAGAATTTCCGCCGGGTGTGACGAAATCGCGGAACCCCCCGCCACCTCCTGCAAATTTCCTCACCCAGGTTCACAAGAAGAGGACACGTGGGAGCTGACGATTAGGGTATCACACCACATGTGAAGCGAAGTCTTGGAAACCAATGTGATGTTCAGTCAAGCATCTTCAAAGCAAATTCCAAGGGACCAGCAAAAAATCTAGTAAGTGCGGTTTTGAGTTGGGGAAAATTTTGGGCGGAGGGGAGGGGGGGGGATATAGGAAATTGTGATTGGTGATATTCTTGGTCATAAATTGCTTTTTAAATTAGTTGACAGTACATTTGCGAAAGGTGAAGGCAAGGGTTCATTTGCCCAATTAGTCTTTCACTTCATTTCAAAATACATCAAGTAACTTTTTCACGGCTTTTCTCTTTCCTGTGTCAAGAAAATAATAGCCAAAAGGCCTCCAGAAAATTTGAGTCATGCAGGTTTGAGGGAGAAAGCATTCAAATTAGGTAGGTTTTTAATGCATTGTTTCTGAGGGAATTCAGACAGGGACTTGAAAAAAAATTGAAGCAGGCAGGTATTTGAATTAGGGTCCAGGTTCAATAGTTCCAAGTTAACGTGTTGTACTAAATACATATTAATCCTTACCTAGTTCTGAGTTTGTGTTTGTAAAATACCTCGCAGAGCCGACTATGTAAGTAATATCAAAGTATTCGTACAGCTGAATTAGAATTATCTTTTGCTGAAACTTCCCATCGAGGCTTGCCAATGTCAATAAGAACCCGGCAAGGAATTCCGCTTATCAATGAACACATGCCACACAAAAAAAAACTCTTTGCTCATCAGAAGATGATTTGCACGTTCTACCAGATAATTTTTGGCACTGATCCCAGATTTGGCTGATGTATCTTCAGAAGAATAGCTGCTTAGAGATACTGTATTGCTGAAAATCTCATTGTTTGAATTTCAATAAAAAGGGGAAATTTTGACATTTGTGGATGGAAAAAAGGGGAATACTCCCCAGTATACATACAATATAAATTTGAGCTTCTTTGATTTATTCTTTTGACCAGCATTTCAAGCGAAAATTCATTTAGAACTGCTGAGATCAAATTTTATTCATTTTTTTTAATTGCCGTTGTGAAGCAGTATTTCTGTTATCGACAAAAATATCCAGTTATAATGCACACGACGATGAAACTCGAACCTCAAAAATTTCCATCGGGAAACTGCAAGGGAACGTCCATCAAGTCCATCTGATTTCTGCCGGAAACCCATCAGTGCGCGATGCATTCGTGATTATCCGTATAATCTGGTTATGGAATTATTGGCCATGACACCGAATTTCAAGTTGAATACAAAAACGCAGATCCGATGCAGGTGCATTAAAAACGTCATAACGCCCCGTTTTATTGTCGCTAAACAATGAAAACTGCTGTTTTTTAAGTTAAACTTTACGATACATATCGCTGAAGGCGCACAGCGCAGTCAAAGCGCACTCCCATTAGTGCTAGCGACTGCTGATTATGGCTTTATCTTGTACCATCGTTATTCTCTCGTTGACTGCAATTCAAAAACAGAGAAATATAAAAAAGAGTTAATTCTCCGATGACCTGTTTTCTCATTCAAAAGCACTGGACCATGATTCCTCCTCCGCCTGTTTACTCGTTTACAATGATTCTTTTTCAAAATTTTATATAAAAACCAGCTGCGATGTACTTGATTGTTGCCAAATCATACGCAACCAGCTTTCAGAAAAGCTACTGTTTGTGTAACTTGCTGGCTGTAAAAAAGGGCTTCAATCGAATCATACGAGAAGGTTGTTTGGAAGTGTTCCGCAGTGCGAAGTACAAGCAAATAAATACGAGTGGTGGTGGAAACTTCAACGTTTTAAATCATTCTAGGTTTTTTTTTTTTTTAATCTATCAGTGCAAAGACGGACGGAAAACTGTCAATTTTAAATGTTAATTGCGCAGGCAAATGGTATAAAACCAATAGGATTAACAAAATACAGTACCACTAGCAGGTCTTATTCCATCATTTTCCTCAAATCTGCCACAGGATTTATTCAGATGGGGGGAAAATTGACGAATTATTCACTGGAATTTGCAATGCGTAGATTTTATATTCTGTGATCTTAAATGGAAACCATTTTACGAGTGCGTAAAGTTTGGAGAAAGCGCAATAAAAAAAATTTAAAACTTGGTCTGAAAAGCGAAAAAGTCGATTTTTTCAGTAAGCGACCTGATGTTCGAATATGTTCGTTTGTCCCCCTGAAAATTGAGGCCCTGATCTAAAACAAAAAAGCATTAATGTTGTTGAATGATCAATGTTTCACTCATCAAATTTGAAAATTCATTCATTTTTGCAATTTATTAGAGAAAAAGGAAAAGCGGCAGTGGTATTTTGAGAATGCATTCGGTGAAGCTGGAAAGTATTCTGCTGACCGTTGCAATACTGGCACCGGTCGAAATTTTTGCTCAATCCTTGGAAACCGTGCCGCCGGGTTTCATTATCAGCGGCAACCAGATAATCGATCCCGCTAAGGGTTCCAAGGTTCGCTTCTGGTGGGGTTACAATGAAACCGACCCGTCCGAACTCTTCTTCGTTGTCAGTGCGAGGGCCAAGGGCTACGTTGGCATCGGTTTCAACAACCGCGGCGGAATGAAGGGCGCTGACATGGTTCTTGGATGGATCACTTCTAATGGCACCGTTATATTCGAGGTGAGATTCCAGGAAATAATATTGACGGATTTTTATCCTACCCTTACCTGAATTCGGCGCGAATTTCTGAAAATTCAAACGGGGTAACTGAGTAAAATATGTATGAATTTGGGTATCTCATCAACGCCATGAGCNTATATTCGAGGTGAGATTCCAGGAAATAATATTGACGGATTTTTATCCTACCCTTACCTGAATTCGGCGCGAATTTCTGAAAATTCAAACGGGGTAACTGAGTAAAATATGTATGAATTTGGGTATCTCATCAACGCCATGAGCCAAATAACGTGAGTCGAATCTGTCCTTCGTGACGATTCGCATCTTGGCGATTCCGTAGCGGGTTCATGGTAAGGTCAAAATTGTGAAGTAAATTTTCATCTTTGTCCGAGAAATATCCCTTTTGTCTATAGAACTTATTTCTATCCGGTTTGATGCAGAAAAAGGGGGAGTTTTGGGACCCACTGAATAATCTTTCATGACGAACGTTACTTGGAGGGAAAGTTTTAGACTGCAGTCAAGGTGAAATATTACAAAAGCCTATGTGAAATGAGATTTGTTGAAGTATGGTTATAAAATTTTTTTTAAATATTCGGTAACCTCAAGATACAAATTACCGCGCTCAACCAAAATCCATTCGAGAATTTTATAGAATTACTTTTAAACTGGAATCAGACTGAGAATTCGCTTCAAATTTGGTTTCAAATCTTTTGAAGCATTTGGTAGAATAATCCAAAAGTTTCTAAAAATTAAAGCATACGTGAATCTGAACTTTAACATATCATCTTAAAGGGAATTTTCCCGAATGTGATTTGAAACATGCCCCATTGGTTAAAATACTGGATGTACTGTAATCTTTTTTACACGATTTAGAATTTTTTGAGTAACTGATTCATGAACACGATTCATGGATCACTTCCCAAAGTTAATGCATCAACACTCCTATTATGAGCTTTTAAAGTAGATTTTCCCGATCGAATAATCAAATATTCCGGATATTCGAAAATTAAAATCAATCTTGGAAAACAATGGACTATTTTTTTGTGCTGTATCAGTAATATTTTGGTAACTGTTGAAGAAAAGCGAATTTTATTTTTTAGCTTCACTCACGGACTTATCTTGATGAAGTCTGCGGCGATGGGTAGTTTTTTATTTTTATCTACAGTAATAAAATTTTATTTCTCATCTACCGTAATCACATTTTAAAGTTCTGATACTGAATTTTTCTCTTTTTATACTTCTCATGTGCTTATAATGCAAATACATTTTCAATGATTCCTTATTGCATTCAAAATTCAAATCGAAGTGCTTTTGGAGAAATGAATGAAGTTCATTGATAATTATATTGCATGCTACAAATACGATTAGTTCAGTATCAAGTTCGCCTTTGAGCTCTTTTAATCAAAGTTTTGCTGCGCTGATGAAATATTTTCAAACTCGGAGTTCAGGAAAATATTTCATTTGATTCCACGGGTCAAGGAAAATGTGTTAATGCTGGCCAAGAGCTAGAAGAGATGACTGATGGGAATGCTAATAAACCGATGCGAAATATTTGTTAAAGCTGGCTCGAATGTCTCCGACGGCGGTACGATCGTTCTGATGACCTTAATTAAGGTTAATGCACGTTCACTAGCGGGAGGGAGAACAATCTAGCCGGCGATTAGGTATTTTTCTCTCCCTAATTAAGGGGTTCTCTTCTTTTTTTTTTTCTTTATATCCATGACGGAGTTTAGGACCGATTTGGAAACACAGACTTTTCGGCGCCGGTCGTAGACAAGGAGCAGAACGTCAAGCTCGAGATGGCCAAGGAAAATGCGACCCACACGATGTTCGCTTGGACCCGACCTGCGAAAACTTCCGACACTTCTGGCCAAGACTTGCAAATCAACGTAAATTTTTTTTTGATTACATTTTTTTATATACTGCGTGTAAATTTTTTCTTCTCAAGAATGAAATGATTGAAGTTCTGTGGGCTTATACCGACGAAGACCCTGTTGGAGCACCAGTCATGCACACTGAGAGAGGACACATGCAGCTGAATCTTGTGGAAAAGCATCCTACTTTAGGGAAACCTTGAGGAAAATTGAATTTCATTCATTTTTTGTCTTCAACGAGCAAATGACGTGTTTCTCGGAAAATAAGACTCGCGCGAAAAATAGTTTTTCAAGGCAAAAAGACACGCTTTAAATGTATTTTTGGTTTGACGGAATACTCAAAAAAAATCTTTGGACCTCGTTTTATGTCGTTTTCAACTCGCAAATAGATTACAAACCGATATATGCGAGTATGTGTTTTCAGGCTCAACTGATAAATTGACTACCACTTCTTGCTGAAATAATTTTTACATTTCAAGTTCAAATTGTGTGCACCTTATCAAAATAGCCTCCATCTTTGTCATTTGAATATGTTTATTCATGGGCTCTTGCTTGTTATAGCAGATATTCTTGAATCTGATGCTACGGCTTAAATCATGAATTGTTCTCAATTTTCTTGGAAACGTGTTAATTTAAAGCGGAAACTATGAGGTGTACAGTACGCATCCCCACCCGAAAAATTGGCACGACTTTGCACAAGTTGCACATGATTTAATGGAAATTGTAAATTGACGTTAAGTTGACACCCAGTAGAGCAGTTACACTTTTTCAAGAACTTATTTTAACGTAATTTTGCCAATAATGTACAATATTCTGAAGTAGCAATGGCATTTTTAGGCAGCGCAGATACTCGGCGGAATGCCGCATAACGCGATTTGTAAACTCTTTTCTTGTTGTGCAGATGTCGTTTCCTTGTAACACGACAAAGGAATGGCTTGCTTTCAGCAGTGGATGTATTCAAGTTTGATCGTGTCGCTCAGACATTCAGAGATTTCAAAAGTGCTTTATTTGCAATTTAGTATCGAAATGAAGGAACAGGAACTTTTTATTCCATCATCATCTGACTCTAAATTCCGTAGGTGCAACACATCAGTGACTTTGTTCTGCATATAATCACTCGACTGGCCGACATTGTCTGCGAAGCAAGGACCGTGTTCTTGATAATAAACCTGCGGCTGAAGCATTCCTCAAATCGTCTTTGATTGCCTTCCCAGAGCGGGGCGCTTAATCAACGTTAATGCACGTTTCACGAGGGGTCGTTCATCGAGTTCCGGATTGCATTCTTTCTTCCGCCTTCGCGATCGTGACTACCGACAGGGTTTACTCTTTTTTTTAATTCTTTTTATTCATTTATTTTTCTCCCCAAATCCAACCGGTTTGGAAAGTCAGACGTCTAGGCGCCGACGGTCATGAACTTCCAGATAACCAGGGCCCAAGTCCTGTGGATTATGCCAGGGTGTTTTCAGAAGTCTTCAGACTTCCTTGTCAAAAACTCTTCGCCATCTACAGTATTTATAAATACTGTAACCAGAAAGATGCTGATCAGGCATCAGAACTTCCGTCATTCTAGCTAATGTTTGGGTACGTGATATCGCGGTAAATCTGGTATTTAAAAAAAGTATAATTCAGCTGCTGGAAAAAATAATATCAAGATTTACCTGATGCACTGTCTCAGGTAATCCCATACATTTTGAAGCGCATTCGTTATGGGGAATAATCTTATACTTGAGCATAAAATACGTGAATCAAGCAAAATATTACAAGTAATAT